GTGTGTATTTTTTCCTTGGGCAAAAGTTTTTCTGGGAGCACTGCTGTACTCTGCTCAACAGGGAGATGGAGGAAAGAGTGTGACTTCCCATCTTGCAGATAATTAGCACGATTGTGGCAATACTGTACTGTAGCTTCTCCTTTCGTAAGCAAGATATTTGTCCATGTTTTCTTATAATATTTTTATAAGAAAAATATTATATCGTAAATATTTCAGCAAAGATATCCTCATGCCACCAGTTAAAAATGTAACCAAAGCATATGCTATGTGTTTCCACCACAGCAATAAGGAACATGCTCCCTCACCGCCAATATTATTAAACCATAACTCCCAGTATCCCTCACCATTGGCCATGGTACCTGGGGCTACTACGTATAGTTCAGCAAACAGCCACAGAGCCATGTGTCTCCAACTCCTGATCTATAAAGTGTCTGAACAGTCTGCCAGGGTAAACTTGGGGGTGACCAGGATACCACCCAAATCTTCTGATTAAACAGTGAAAATTAAGCAAGGCTTGAGGGAGCTATTTGTGTAATATACTGTATATATATGGTCACTGGGATGCAGCTGCAACTGGCATGTCTTCACTGCAAATTTACAGACCGTGCACAGGACTGACAGTCTCTCACAGCCTGCCTTCCCTACCAAGAGATGAGCACAGAGATGGTTCAGCTAACTGGTGCTTGTCTGCCAGCCACAAATGGCTTCCTAATCCCACTCTCACAGTTCATATCAAACATTAAAAATCCCTTTCCCTGCAGCAAAAACATTTAAGGAAGAGAGTTCTGGATGCCTTTCATGTGGCAGTTCCTCAAGCCACATGGGTTGCCTTGTACATGTGGCTTTGAACCCAATGCTGATGTCTAACAAGCTGGTATCATGCTGGGATACCGGGAGCTGTGATGGAACTTGAACCAACCATCTCCTCTAATGAGGACTAAGACCATCCAGGGCAAAACCAAACAGTGAAATGCTACTGCTTCCCTAGTGATATTTGGTGCCTTGACAAAAGTTACCCCATTGTAGAACAAACCCCATGACTGTAAGACCTGAGAGTTAGGCACAGTGGGAACTGCTTAACTAGAGTTTCTTTCGACTCGCAGGAGAGAAGTCAGCTCAAACTATGAGCAGATCTGCACCTCCACCTGGAAGTCCCCAAGCTGAGAAAAGCATCTGTTCCAACATTAGGAGTCCTGCGTATTTATCTGCACCCAAATTCCCTCTCTTGTTGGCTTGTTTATACTTTTTATTTAGAGGAAGGGAATGAGCAGGGAAGGGAGGAGGAGAAGGAGAAGGAGACAAAAAATCTCATTTTCAAAGAGATTCAGAGTTGAGAGGATCTGGCCCAGCTCAAACTGAGATGAGAAGTTTTGAGCAAGGCCTTTGAGTTTTATAACCAGGATCTTCCCGCCACCCTGAAATTGAAAGTTAAAGATATGGGGAATGGAATGACAGCTCAACTCAGAAGAAGAGCTGAGCATCTCTTGAGAATGACCAGTGGCTGGGTGACGGGCAGACTCAGCTATCAACTGTAAATACTTTTAGGCCCTGGGAAGTAAGTTTTCTATCACTGTTGCATTTAGGTTTGGCAATTCCTTCTTCCTTTGGATGGTTTTCTTCCTTCTGGGCCTTTCTTACTAGATTGTTAATGCCACATTTTTTTTCATATACCCACAACCAGTAACAACAATAAATATTTCTTGTTGAAGCTGGGGAAAAATCTTATCAGAATTTTTTCCCCCAAAATTGGAATTTTCCATATAGTTTTCTTAGTAACCTAAGTAGATTCTATTTTAGTTGCCCTCTTTAAAATTGCCCTTTCTGAAAGACTTATCCTATCATTTTAGTGAAAGACAACAATGATAAAGATTTCACCTTCATAACTTGTACTACTTGCAATGGGTAAGCCATACCGATTGAACTAGTGGCTGTGCGGAACTCCCTAGGAGAACAAATTAAACACACGTAAGTCAGCTTTTATGCTAAGGCTACAATCCCATTTACAGAGTTAGTCAAATGCAATTAAGAGGCTGATATACCATGTGGTTTAGAGGTTAGAGTGTTGGACCAGGCCTACACACTTCAGTCTTTCATAGAGGAAATATTTTTTTCCAGAACCCAAAATTTGGACTTTATACATCCACCACTTACCTCTAATTCTGAAGCTCATGCTTCTAATCTTATGAGTTTCCCTAGATTCCTATAGAACAGTAATGTTAGATACCAATTTTTCCTAAGAAATTATTAAACACAGTGCACAAGATTTAAAAAGTCTGTTAATGCACAGCTCCTTTAAAAGTTTTGCCAGCTTTTTTCCTTGTTACAAAATGAGTCAGTATGTATGATTTATATCATGCATTCTGTATGCATATGTATTCTACAATTTTACAGGATGTAAATAAACCTATAGTCTATGTAAAAATCCCCTTTTAGCTCATCATACAGAGAGCACTGCAACATTAATGTTGAGAGCATGTTTGATGCCAATCCACAGCTTGGCTAACATGTTGACTCATCTAAGTCCATGACAATATTTCAATCTTTCATCCAGATAATAGGCAAGTCATCAATTCACTTGATTACAGCCCACCTGAGAGGAAAAATATACATTTCCATAAATATTGAAGAAGTATTTAAGTTTTAAGTTTAAGAACTTAATATTTAAGTTCTTTTTATATAAACTACACCATGTGGTTTCTTTAAAAAAACCCAACTCCTGAGCAGATGATGTTCAGGTTTGTTTTTTTTTTTTTAACCTCCGCTCAGCCGTTACCGACTCTGCAGTGACTGCTTGGACGAGTCCTTTTGCAGTTTTCAAGGCAAGGTG